GGGTTTGTGGGGAAAGACTTCGTGGAGGAGGCAGCACTGGGGCTATTCATGAGGCAGAAAGCCCTGAGCAGGGGCTGGGCAGAGTGGAACGGCTAGAGGGAGAGAACACGGGCAGAGGGTCTGGCAGGTGGGCTGGGCCAGGTTGGGGGTAGCCAGGATTGAGCCAGAAGGTACAAGCAAGCTGGGCAGGGTGGGAGTGGAGCCAAGCTGGCATGCGGATTTGTAGCTGATAGCACGTCCGCTGCCTGGCCCCCCTTTGCCCGCCGGCTGTAATTGAGCCCTTGCTATGTGCATTACACACATACCTATTAAGCCTCTGGCTCCCAGACAGCCGTGTGGTGCTGTCCTGACCACACATGGCTGCCCCAAGCTCCTGGAGCCCATTGGCTGGATCTCTTGAGGGATTCCTTGGGCCCCTTCACTCCGAGAGTTCTGGGAATGAGCGAGTAGTCCTTGACAGGCACCTCTTCCTGTGGCGGAGGGGGCTGGAATCCAAATGGGCCACCAGGGTCATACTGTTTGCTCAACACTCGCTGCTGTTTGCCCCTTGGCCAGCTCACAACACCTCTGCCTCATGCTTGCTGTGGTGTTGTCCTATCTTTATTATTATTTTTTTAATATTTATTTTTATTGGAAAGTCAGATATGCAGAGAGGAGGAGAGAAAGGAAGATCTTCCATCTGATGATTCATTCCCCAAATGGCCACAATGGCCGGAGCTGAGCCGATCCAAAGCCAGGAGCCAGGAGCTTCTTCCAGGTCTTCTGTGCAGGTGTAGAGTTCCAAGGCTTTGGGCCGTACTTGACTTCTTTCCCAGGCCACTGGCAGGGAGCTGGATGGGAAGTGGCTGCTGGGACATGAACCGGCACCCATATGGGATCCTGGCACGTGCAATGCGAGGACTTTAGCCACTAGGCTACCATGTCGGGCCCAGGTATTGTCCTTTCTTAGCCTTGGCTTGGGCCCCCTTGCAAGTGAAGCCCTGGACCTTCCCAAAGTCACGCCCCCTGCTGTGCTTCTGGTGAGCACATCCCAGCCCCTCCTGGCCTCAGAACTTGCTGGGCAGTGCCAGGTCACTTCTGGGTGAGGGAGTGGGGGGCTGTTGAACGGCACAGGATCAGGGATTAGGCTGCGTGGGGAGGCTTGGCCCCTTGAGCAAGCTGAAGCCAGGGTGCATTATATGATGTCGGAGAAACCGGAGACTATAGGGCAGCTGAGGGAGACATGCAGTTTGCTCACCTTCCCCAGAGCAATGATGTGAGGATGTGAAAAAGGTGTGAGGGCACCTGTCATGGGGGGTATAGTGGGACCCGGGGCACCATACCCCCAGGGAAGCCCTTTATTTTTGTGTTTTGTAATAATTTATCTTAGGGGCCTGCATTGTGATATAGCAGTTTAAGCTGTTGCTTGCAATACCAACACCCTAAATGGGAGTCAGTTCAAGCTCCAGCTGTTCCACTTCTGATTTTACTGACTGCTAATGTGCCCAAGAAGGCAATAGGAAATGGTTCAAATGCTTAGACCCCTGCCACCCAGGTGAGAGACCCAGATGGAGCTCCTGGCTCCAGCCCGATCCATTCCAGGCCTTTGCAACTGTTTGAGATGTGAACCAACAAAGATAAAAGATGTCTTCCTCTCCTTGTGCCATCTTCCACTGCCTCCCAGGTGCATCAACAAGGAGCTGGGAGGGAAGCAGAGCAGTGGGAACTCCAGCTGGCATTGGGACATGCACTGCCAGAGTTGGAGGTGGCAGCCCAGCTCCCTGCACCACGATGCACCACGATGCCCACAGGAGCATGAGCCACCAGGAGGGCCAGCAGTGAGCAGATGTGATCACAGGCTGTGCAGTCAGGGACACTGAACTTGGATCTCACTACTGCCTTTTCCCTCAGAGCAGGGCTTCCCTTGTCTGGAAACATTGGGCCCTTCCTTGAGACTGGGCAGGGAGCTGCCAGAGCCTGGGCCTGCCATCATGGCATGCAGCCTGATACCCAGGAAGTGCCTGATGCTGACCCAGGGGAGTGCAGTCCTCTGGGCACAGGTCCCACCCACCTGTACCTCACAGTCTAAGCACTGTGTTGTTCCAGGGTGGAGCTAGAAGGGAGGCCTCGGGAGGGCAGGATGCCTTGCCAAGTGGGACAGTGGCATCACGTGTCAGAGGGCTGATCTTCAGCAGCCCCTGCCAGCAGGGCACTGCCCTCTGATAGCAGAGAACGCTCCTCATGCCACCTGTCCCCTGGCATGCTGCAGCTATGGCCTCTCTGAGAAGCAGCAAGCAGGGCAGGTTCCTTCTGAATCTGCTGCCCTCAGAGGACTCCCAGCCCACCTGGAGTTCCCCTGCGTGCCTGGCCTCTCCCCTGTCCCTTCCTCCTCTGCTCACTGCTGTGTCTGTCTCAGACCCAGCCCCCCTCTGTGGTCAGAATCAATATCTCAGCCTGCACACTCTGGTCAGCTGTGGCTCAGGTCAGGCCTGTTGTGTTTCCCAGGTTACCAAACACCCAGCACTGTGTCCTCTTGAGTAAACCCATTAAGAAGTGGATGTATAATTTACCTGCAGTCAAGTGTACAACCTTCAAGTGCAGAGTGGCAAGGTTTTTTTTTTCCCCCTTAAGACATCTTTATTTTTATTGGAAAGGGAGATTTACAGAGAGGAAGACCTTCCATCCACTGCTTCACTCCCAACTAGCTGCAACAGCCAGAGCTGAGCCAATTGAAAGTCAGGAACCTGCAGCTTCTTCCAGGTCTCCCATGTGGGTGCAGGGTCTCAAGCCTTGGACCAACCTCCACCGGATGGGAAGTGGAACAGCTGCGACACAAACCAGTGCCCTTATGGGATGCCAGTGTTTGGAGATGGAGGATTAACCATTTGAGCCATTGTGCCAGCCCCTGGCGTGTTTCACGTATATACACACCTGTGCAGCCAGTAGGCAGATGGAGATTTGGAACTTCTCATGGCAGGCGTGGTGCCCACATCCTGTGTCAGAGTGCTGACTGGAGGAGTCCTGACTTCTGTTTCTCGCATCCAGCTTCCTGCCAATGTGCCCAGGAGGCAGAAGGTGTGACACGTGGGTGGAGTTCCAGACTCCTGGCTTTGGCCTGGCCCAATCCCACCTGGTTGTTGTGGGTTTTGGGGAAATGAAATCAGTAGATGAGCACTCTCTTTGGTCTCTCCCTCTGCCTTTCATACAAATAAACATTTGGAAAAATAAGACATTCCCTCTTAAAATAAGAAAGTCCCTCTTGGGCCCCTTTTACAACTGCAGCCTCTGTTGGGGCAACCACCGCGAGTGGTGTCTTTCAAAGTTTCCAGGCCTGTGTTTGTCATGCCTGTGATGTGCCTACGTGAGGTTGCATGCTGTCATCCATCTCACTGCACAGAACCTGTCCGTTATGTGGATGCTTGCCCGTGCCTCAATCTGCTGCAGCAGGAGGCTTGTGTGGCCTGTGCTGCGTACACAGTGTGAGCAAAGCTGCTCTGAGTGTTGGGAAGCGGGGCCTTGGTGGAACCTGCACTTGCCCTCTGTTGGGTGTGCTCTGCTGAATGAGGGCGTTGCCAACTCCCAGGGCGGCACAGACTCCCTGCTGCTCTGCCCACGTGGCTGCGGTGTCTTAGAAGCTCCCTGCGGGTGGTCAAGGGCACTTGGAGCTGCCCCACCTCCCTGTCAGCACTTGACATTCCTGGTTGGATTTCAGCCACCTGGAGTCTCCTGGAGTAATTTTGCAGGTGACTTTTCCATGTGCATGACTGTCGACCTCTCTTGGCCTCCTCTTTGCCGATATATTTGCTTCAGGCTCTTGCTTGTCTTTTAGTTGGGCCGATTGGCTCTTCTGTATCAGTTGATGGGAGATTTTTGTCCATTCTGAATTGGTACAGTGATGGTCTCCTAGGCTTGGGTTCCTCCTTCCCCACCTGTGGGGTGCCTGTTCCTCCTCGGCTTTGGAATACTCAGAGGCAATGTTTGTTGAAAGGAGGGGGTGCCCCCAGCCTGAGTCCTGTGGTAGCTGGAACAACCCAGTGTCTGCCTGTGTGGACAGCACCTTCAAGGCTGCTGAGCCACCTGCTGGTCCCCAGCACGGGGCCTGGCACAGAGACAGCCCCACTTGATCACCTGCACAGGGTACTTGGTCACTCTTGACAGAGTGGCCACCTTCTGTGCCCATTCCAGAAAACACTCTAGAGAAGATGAGCTTGCAGCAACAGAGATGCTGGGGGCTAGAGGTGGGGGTTGCTCAGATGGAGAAAGAGCAGGCGACACACTGTTGCTTTGGGGTTCTCCCACTTTACTGGAGGGTCAAGATGAAGATACCTGGTACCCCAAGATACATGCTCAAAAGTAGGTTTCCTGGTCTGTTGCCTTGCCACAGAGCTCCAAAAGGGAAACTGAGGCCTGGCAAGGCCAAATGGGATCTGGGGTTTGGTTTGAAGATCTATGGTAGCTGGGGCTGCTAGGGTTCTCTGGGACTCCAGCTGTTTGGAATAAGGCCCATGGCCAGGCCTGGATCCCCTGCCCTGTCCTGCCCTCTGCACGCCAGTAGAGTGTGCGAGGTAGACAGCTAAGCTGGAAACATGTGACCACTCAGTCTATCTTGACCCCTTCTTGGAGGTGGACATGGCAACCTGCCTACACAGATGGGGAAACCGAGTCCCAGGAAGGCAAAGGTGGCTGTGTCTGCATGGTCGAGCAGGGTGGCGGCACGGAGCCAGGTTGCTTGTCTGAAAGCTCATTAAGGGTGCACTTACGCTCTGCGTGGATCACACATCTGGGAGCTACTAATGGAGGTTTTTGGTACTTGCTGTTTTTTTTTTTTTTTTTTTTTTCAAAATTGTTCCAGTTTCAAGCTTCAAATTTCCATGAAGTCATTGGCCCTCCTCGCTCCTGGGGAGGGCTCAGCTGCGGCTGAGAGAGGCACCCCCCCTCCCCTGGCCTGCACCCATCTCAGGGCTTAGCTGAGGCCCCCCGCTGTAGCCACTGTGGCAGCCAGCCGCCTGCCCGCCGGGAGCAGGAAGTGGCAGGTCCCCTATGTGACTCACTAGCGGTAGGTAGCGGGGCGACAGAGCCTTCCCTTGTGTGATCTGGACAGGGCCTTGGGGAAGGCCAGACGCGGATCAGACCACCCTCTTGTTGGCGCCGACCCCACCCCGCTGCAGCAGTGGGTCCCTGCAGAACCAGGTAAGTGGATGTGGGGGCTGTGCTGTCAGCAGCACCCCCGGGGTGGAGGGTGGGGCAGGGCAGGCCCTGTAGTTCCAGGCAGAGGCAGGCGGCTGGGCCTGTGGGCCTGGCTGGGAGAGGGCTGAGCTAGGTTGGCCAGGGAGTTTGGCTCCTGGAAATGGGGAAGACACAACTTGTGGCTGGCTCCCATCCGGATGAGCAGGCGCCCCGTACTGCTGTGGTGTGGGCTGGCCCGGCTCCTTCTGCTTGTTGTTCTCAGTAAGTAGATGTGTTCTCTTGCACTCAGACATCCGTGTGTGTCGTCTCAGTGCTCTGTGTGTGTATGTGTTTGTAAAGATTTATTTATTTGAAAGTTACATGGAGAAAGATCTTCTCTCTGCTCATTCACTCACCAGGTGGCTGCAACACCCAGGGCAGGGCCAGGCCAAAGCCAGGAGCTTCTTCCGGGGTTTCCCACGTGGGTGTAGGGGCCCAAACATTTGGACTGTCCTCCGCTGCTTTCCCAGATGCGTTAGCGGGGATCTGGGTGAGAAGTGGAGTAGCTGGGACATGGACTGGTGCCCGTGTGGGACACCTGTGCTTGTAGTGGCACTTCACCCGTTGATGCCATGGGCTCGGCCCTGTGATTGTGTATTTACAAGTGCACTTCACTTTCCTCAAAGCTGACCGTGGCGAGGGCAGGGCAGTTCAACTTATTTTATAAAAAACAAATGACAGCCAACAAACAAAAGGCTCTCAGAGTGGGCAGTGCCTGCGTCAGAACTGAGCTGTCCCTGAGGTGGAGGCCCCCTGTTCTAGGGCCCTAGGAGGACTGTGGAGCCCCTGGGAGCACTGTGGAGCCCCTGGGAGCACTGTGGAGCCCCTGGGAGCACTGTGGAGGCCCTTGAGCTCCTCTGAGCACTAGGATACTGGTAGCAGGTGTCTCCTTCCTGCATTGTTACAGTGAATTCAGGGACAGGGTACTGGGCCTGGGGGCTTCCCCACTAGCTGGCCCTGGGGGAGACGGGGAGAGGACGTGAAGGTGGCCCACAAATGGGTGGGTCTGGGTGTCTCTAAAGAGACTGCTGATTCTGCAGGGTCACGGATGTGCTGCCGACATGCACACGAAGGAGACACTTGGGCGAGTGAATTTGGAGGAAGTGTGAAGCGGCTGGCGGGAAGTGCTGCGTCTGGGGCCCCGCAGTTTGGCATCGGTGCCCACCCACCTCCAGGGAGCCCTGGACTTCCTGTGGCTCCTGGTGGCGAGGGGGTAGGGCAGGCTCTGGGCTTGCCTGTGGCCCTCAGAATGAGGAGGGGTGGACACGACAGGGGTCAGGTGGTTTTATGGAGAAGCCAGGGCTGCATGGAGCTGGCGGTTGGGTGTCATGGCATCAGCTGGCTGGGGTTGTCCTCGGGGGCCCTGGGGAGTGGGGTGGGAACGGTACCCACATAAGGTGGGCAGGGGTGAGCCTCCTGTATGCAGGTCATAGGTATTTCTCAAGAGGAGATGAGAGGGTAAAGGGGCTGGCCTGCTGGGCTCTGGGGACCGTTCCCTCCCCTGAACAGTGTCTAGCTTTTGATTTGTTCCTCTCTCCCTTTACTGCTGCCCCCACTTCATAGGGGAGAAGGCAGAGGCCCTGGGGAGGATTATCTTTGCAGTATGTGTTTAGATGCAACACAGGTGTACTCAGCTACCACACCTGAGGTCAGGGCTGTGCGGGGCAGCACCGAGGTGGGGCGGTGGGTCACTGTCTCTAGGTGGTGCCCTCTGCTGGGAACAGGAGCCCCACGGCAGGGTGAGGGTCAGCTCAAGCTATTGGTGGCGGGGTCGAGGGAGGGGTCTCATGCCCCGGTTGGACTGTGTCTTCTGGCCCATTTGGGCTGGGTCGGGGACTTGCTGTGCCTTGCCATCCCCCATCACTGGGAGTCCCTTGGTGCTGGACTTCCCCAACCTCCCTAACTTGGAGGAAGTGGACAAGGGTCACACATGCTTGCTGCAGCTGGGCGACAGCAGCATTTCCCAGCCCATTGTGACGCTGTTGCCTGGATAGAGAAGGCCCTGGGCCTCTGGGGCAGCAGGAAGCGTGTGCCGCACAGGGTGCCTGGATCACAGCTGCCCGGTGCAGCCCACCATGAGGTCGGGTCTCAGGGGTAGGAGAGAGGCGTTTGTTGGCTTAAGGAGACCCGTGTGGCTGGGAGCTGCGTGGCAGTGGCATCAGTGATGCCTCAGCAGAAGCCTGAGAGGCAGGGTCTTCATGCAGAGCATGCCTCTGTCTGCCGCCCAACTGTGCCCTGGTCCAGCCCACTCTGCCGTCTCCCTCCTGCACGGGGATTAGCCAGTTGCAAACAGGAAGCAATGCTGTCATCTCGTGTCCGATGAGGGGAGCTGCCACCCTGGCAGGAGGGGTTGTTTGGTGGATGACATCCTCTGCCTTGGAGGGGAGAGCCCGGATGCCCCTGGGGGCGCTGAACCTGTGTGGAGCTGGACTGAAGGGACCCCTCCTAGCTTGGGTTACCCGTTTGTTCTGTTTCTCTGTTTTCCTATCTGTAAAATGGAGTGGATGGCAGTGCTCAGGTTGGTTAGTGGGAAGACAAGATGTACAGAACATGTCCCTGAAGCCCCAGACTCGAGAGCTGTGGCTGACAGGTGGCCCTGCAGTGACGGGAGCTCTCCAGCCTGTGGGTGGGGGAATCCTGCCAGCTGCCCCCACCCCCGTCCTCCCAGGAGGATGACATGGTGCCCCTGGCTAGCTCTAGGCATCCAGCTTGATCTGCCCACGAGTTTCACAGCCAGCTGTTTCATGTCAGGGCTGGGCCATACCCAACCTTGGGCACAGATGCCCTGCTCCCTGAGCTCCTCCTGGCAGCTCTTTTCTGGAAGGGCCCAGGCAGCGTGAATGGTGAGCCCTAGACTGAAACTCGCTTCTCTCGGTGTCCTTTCTCCCTAAGACACCTGGGGTTGAGCTTTCCAGCTGCTACCTGCCACCCTGTCTCCAGTGTCTGTGTTGCTGGTTTGCTGGTCCCCGGGGCTCAGGTCTGTGCTGTGGGCAAAGCTGTTGTCTGGCTGAGGGAGGGGTTGACTGACACCAGCTCCAACATTCTCTCGTGCAGCCCTCAGCCCTCGGGTCAGGGTCGGGTGTCAACCCCCTGGCTTCCAAGGTCTTATTGTATCTGGCCCTCCACTGGTCCTTTCCTGCCCCTCCCCCAGCGCTGTGACTTGTGTCCCCTGTGGAGGGACTCCTCCTCTGGGAGACCTGCTGCTCTGTGGGGATGGGGCACACCAGTGGGAGCCGCCTCCTGCGAATCCCTTCTGCATCGGCCCATCATCTTCCATTCATCTCTGTCGCTCCATCTACCCCTGCCACTGGGCCTGGGAGAAAAGTGGGGACAAATTGAGGTCTGAGTGGCAGGTGTTCCAGTTTTCAGTCCAACTCTTGGCCTTTCCTGGCCCGTGAGACTGCCCAGCTGCCCCCTCTGGGTGGCTCTCTTGGACTGGCTTGGACCCCACAGACTTGAGTCTACCATGCTTGCTAGCATAACTGGTGTTGCTGGGAGAGACTGGGGGCTTGGGAGAGAGTGTCCAGAGAGCTCCCAGCCTCGGGGCTTGCATGTGTTTTCCTGATCCTCCCTGTCTGTGATCCCTTCCCCCGGTCTCCCACACGGAGATGGGTGTGGATTTGGAGCCTGTCCCTGCTGCTGTTCCCTGGGGACACCCCTCTTCTTTCTACTTTGTCCTCCCCACCTCTGCCGGCAGCCTGGCTCACTCTGGTTTCTGCCCACCTGCTCCTGGCCTCCCACACCTGCCTCCAAGAACTGTCTGCTGAAGGAGGAGTCCTTTGAAGTCGACTGGGAGACGCTGCTCTAATAGGGGCCTGGGCTAATGGGGCAGTGGCTGCCTTTGAAACACCCAGACTCCCCAGGAGTCACCGCCCTGGCCCCTGGGGAGAGGGTGGAGGCCGGCTCTTGTGCATCCCTAGCCACCCCAGCCTCCCTGCCTGTGGACAGGACAGTAGGCAAAGAGAGGAACCAACTTTTGGGAGCTGGCTGGAGAGGCTGCCAGCAGTGGGAGACTTGCAGCACGTCCATGCTGCCTGTTCCAGCAGCTGCGGGAGCTGGCTGGGAGGACTCCAGGTGGTGACCCTTGCTGTGTTCCAGCCTCTATGCTTTAGGGACCATTTCCAGTCCCTTCAGACAGTAAGAACCAGAACATGCCAGTGCTGGGGTCACAGCAGCTGGCCAGGGGTAGAGCCTGGATGTGTGACGTGTTTCTGATCTTCGAGCCACACTGTCGCATTGAGCCCTCACCTCTCCCACCTTCTCTGTGGTCCAGGCTACGGCTGCATCATTGCTTGTCCTGGCATTCATTATTCTCACTGTCCAGCTTATTTGGTGCCATACACGTCCCCCTGGCTCCCCAGCACACACACTGTAAGCTGCACTTGCCCCTACCCACACCCCCATTCCTACCCCAAGTAGGTCAGGAGCCCAATGAGTGCTTAGTGGCTAGGGGTCCAGGGAAATGCTGCCCATTTCCCAGCAGCTAGAGGAGTCTTTACCACATGTGGCCTGGGAGTTTATAAAGATATTTTGTAGCTGTGAGATGATTTCATTGTGAGTCCATGCCTGGGGTGAGAGAGGAGGGTGGTTTTATCTCCATTGTTCAGGTGGAGAACTGAGTCTTGAGATGCAGATGCCTGCCAAAGCCCATGCAGGTAGGGCAGGGGTTGCCAGTGTTGGGGCCCTGCCCTTGACTGGCAGTTCCATGCAGGAAGGGGTCTAGGTAGCCCTTATGTACCCAGTGGGGCAGGGACAGATGGCTCAGCCTTGGGCAAGCACTGCATGGTGCAGCCAGTGTATTGCTGGGAGGTGCAGGTTCCAAGGAAACTAGGGCCTGATCTGGAAGCAAATGGGCTGCCTTTCTGGAGGTGGTGATTGTGGAGGCTGGTCTGAAGGGCGGGCGCCACTTGCCAGAGCCTGGAGATGAAATGGGTGGGGCTTCTTTGGGGAAGCGAAATAGGTCA